TTTGGCATTCTCGCATTTCCCATTCTTTCGATGTGTCCTAAGTATCGGATTCTCTGGGCTTTGATTGCCGTTATTATTTTTGGTTCATTAAATAGTTCTTCAAGTTCCTTATTATTTCTTCTTCTCTAGTGTGCATCTATTTTTGCACCTCCATATATTGCTCGTTGTATTTTCCCCTCCCATGCTTCTAAAAGGTCTATTCCTGATTTTTTAAGCATCCATGTTTCGCATGCATATGTACTGTAGCTGTAGGTCTGATAACTGTTTTGTAGATTCTTATTTTTGTTTTTCTTAAGGCATATTTGGATTTCAGTAATGGACGCAATGCTCCATACTTTTTGTTTTATTTTGCAAATTCTTGCTTTTATCTCCCCTTCCCCATGTCCCATTCATTTACTTTTACACCCAGGTAAGTAAATTCTGACACTATTTTAAACGTGTATGGATTTTCTTTTTCTACCTTCCATTGTGAAATTGTCTTCTTTTTCTTTATCTGTTTCTCCCATTATCATGTATTTTGTCTTTTCCTTATTTATGAGAAGACCAAAAATTTTTGCTTCTTTTATTATATTGCTCATTAATTTTTTTAGCTCTTTCTTACTTGTTGTTAAAAGTGTTAGATTATCTGCGAATGCTATACATTGATGGCCATTTTTAAAAATCGTCTCCTGTGTGTTTATTTTAGTTTTTCTAATTATTCCTTCCAGTATTACATTAAAAAGAGTCGTTGATAGTGGGTTTCCTTGTCTTAATCCTTCCTTTGTTTCAAAATTATTTGATTTATGTTCCTTCTATGCTATTTCGTTTGTGGAGTTATCCATAGTCATCTTGACCATCTTGACGATTTTACTTGGTAGGCCCATTTCTTTCATTAGTGTGTACATCTGTTATAGTACCGTAGACCTGTTTAAAGTTGACGAACAGGAAGTATACTGCTATTTTATGTTCGTAGCACGTAGTCTGGATTTCTTTTAACGCAAATATTTGGTCTGTCGTCGACCTATTACTTCTGAATCCTGCATGATATTCGCCGAATATCTTTTCCGTATATTGATTCAGCTTTTTTCTTATGATGTTTGTCAATATTTTGTACACGGCTTTTAGCAACGCATACCTCTATAATTTTCACATCTCATTTTGTCCCCTTTTTCATGTATAGGGCATATCCTTGCCTGGCCCATTCTCCTGGCATTTTTTCTGTTTTCCGTATACTTTTTATCAGGCTATGTCTCTCCTTGTGTAGTCTTTTTCCTCCTGTCTTTATCATTTCCTCCGATATTTCTGTTATTCCTGAGCTTTTATTGTTTTTTCGTCCTCTTATTTCATTTTCTATTTCTTCTCTCGTAGGTGTTTCTATTACTATATGATCATCTTCAATTTCCTGGATTGTCCCCTTTCTCATTATTTCCCCAGGTTCATTTATTACTATTCCTTCCTCATTTTTAATATATGGGTTATGTTTCCGATATCCCCTTTGCATTTTTCTTGTTTCCTGATAAAAGGATCTTATTTTTTTCTTTCTTTGATTTTTTCCCTATCACCTATATTGTCGAAAACAATTTATCCCCACTCGTAGCATAATTGTTTTTATTAATTCCATGTTAAATACACATTCCAATTATTATTCTGCTGTTGTTTGATTTTTATTATTTTTGTCAGTCATAAACACACATCTAAAGCGTCTCTCCATCTCGCGTTTTCAGTTATATTCTTCGCATACGATATACAGCTGTGTTTGTAGGGTTTTAAACTGGACTTTAAACAAATATTGAACCAACATACCAACGAGGAAATTATTTCTTAGTTAAATATTTTCAAATACTTGCCGATGTGTGCAAGGCAATCGAATTATTCATTGTTCTTTTAAAAAAACAAAGTTGGCTTCCACTTGCATCTATTTTTATGGACGTTTAGACGTAGAGAGGTTTGTCAACTTCTTCATGGACAATTTGTTTTCATGCTCTTGATTTAGAGGTTTTAGTGGGTTATGGAACAAATCATTAAAAATATATTAACATACACATATGTCCAAAAGTTCGGAATACGTACAAATATGGTGGTTTTAAAATTGTTGATATTCATTCTAGAGCGTTTTTAAATGAAAATGATAAAAAATTTTAATCGTTTTTGTACGATTTTGGTCCTATTCAACTGATTAGCGTATTTACACATTATTTCAGTCTTTGTTTAAATTTAAATTGAGCCGTTTAAAAATGTCTAGAAACGTGATATCTTATTTTGACAGATCTATAGTAATTGCTTTGTTACAACAGGGCTTAAGACAAAGTTATATCGCTAATATTGTTGGTGTTACTCAGAGTACTGTATCGGAAATTTAAAAAAAAATCCAATATACAAATGACGTCAAGGATCGTCCCAGAAGTGGTAGAAATCGATATACAACAGCAGCACAAGACCAGCATATAACATTGATAGCTCGTAGAAATCGTCTGGAATCTACAAGTGGTATATCCAGAGAAATTTCTAGGCTTCAAGGACTGAATATTTCACGGTAAACAATAAGACGCAGACTAAATGCGATAAATTTATATCATAGAAGACCGATACGTGTTCCTAAACTAACCGACCAACACAAAATAGTAAGGTTGCAATGGGCTAGAGAAATGGTGCATTATGGTCTAACTAACTGGAATAACGTGATATTCTCTGATGAGTCAAAAATTGGCTTGGTATCTGATTCGCGAAGAACACTGGTTTGGAGGACTCCAGTACGACAAGCCCGACTAGAAACAGCCCAACCGCGTGTTCATTTCAAGGTGGCAATATTATGGTTTGGTGTGGTAAGATGAGTGGTAGACGGACGCCACTGCTGGTTCTGGAGAGATGAGTCACTGGTGCTGTGTAGATCGAGGAAGTTTTAAATCAAGTCGTATGTCTATTGCGAGGGGCAGTAGGTGATGAATTTGTATTTATGCATGACAACGTACCTCCTCATCGAAGAGCAGCGGTACAAAATTTTCTGGAAGAAGAAGGAATAGCTACATTACAGTGGTCCTCGAATTTCCCCGACATGAACATTATTGAACATGCTTGGGACATTCTCAAAACACGCATCAAAAAGCGAAATAATCCTCCTATTACACTTCGAGAACTAAAAGATGCTGCTCGTGAAGAATGGGAAAGAATTCGGCAAGCCCAGCTCGACCAGTTAATCGTCAGCATGCCATATCGCCTATAGGCATGCATACAGGCCAATGGAGGAAATACTAGTTATTAATTTTATTAAAAATTTATTTTTTTCTATACTAATTTATTTTTAAATGTAAGTTGTAAACTGTAAGTTTTTCACTCCAAGGGAATAAATAATTTGTTTGCATATCGTTTATTTGGTTTTGAGATTTATTTAGTATTGTTGAGAATTGAAACAAAATGATGTTTAACTATTCAGAAGAGTTTATATATAAAAATCAATAAAAAGATGAAATATTCCAATATTCCAAACTTTTGAACATATGTGTATATTAAATTGAGTAAATTTCAAAATATATTCTAGTAGTTGATTTTTGCTCAGAGACCAATAATTCATCCCAGGAACATTATTGGAACTTATAATTCGGTAAGTATACTACTTTGGCTATACAATAAGTTCACATCTTTCTTAAAATAGGCTCTTTAATAAAGTATTTCTGGGAAAAGATTTTTAAGACTACATAAAATAGACTTATTAAAATTCAAAGCCTAATATGAACTGTTTACAACACACAAAGCAGCACTCCAGGAAGACGGATTAAAAACACATATTCAAACTCCAAAACAAATTATCTAAAACGCTCCTCCAAACAAAAGGCAACGTTTATTTACAGTACTTCACTACTTTAATAAACGGAATTTATTTCATTTGAACATGTTTAAGATTGTGGAATTATAAATGTTAAGCTGATCTGCAATGCTGTACCTCGGAAGGATACAACACTATGTCCATTTTCATAACTTTACAGGAGAGCATTTTAAAATTTTTTTTCACCAAAAAGTTTTATTGCTGCAGCTATTTATTGAGATATTGAAACAAGATTTTAATAGAACATTTCATCTATTGTTATTTACATAATGCATTTTTTATAATTTAAAAATAAATTTTTTTCTGTTTTTAACCACCTTTTTAATGGACATGGTGTTGTATCCCTCTAATAAAGTTATTGTACTGTAAGAATTAGTGTGGGATATTCAAGGGTATTCAATAATAAGTACAAGACTGTTTGACTTACAAAATTTATTTAACCATACAATTCACCTTTATAAATACAAATAATACATCTATGTGTTTAAACAAAATGGTATTTTTGGTACTCAGTCATCCTCAAATAAGTCTCCTTCTGGATAGTCATTATTGGTATTACTAGTATGCTTTAAGTTTTTATAAAAAGCATGATAAAATACAGGCACATTTGGGAGTAATGCCAATAGATCATTATACTTTTGTTGTGATATAGGTATTGGACTTTGTGATATCAGTTGCAAATATTTTGGCAATGTAAGGTGTCGCCTTAGAAACCTAACCAGGTCATTCTTCTGGTTTTCATAATGAAAATTACTGTTCAACAACAAAGTTCCCATGCTGTTTTGTTTTACTTGCAGTTGAACACAATTTGACAGAACTACTGGTTCTGTCAAATCACTTGTTGTTTGTTGATGTCTCTTTTTCTGTTAATCAAAAGCGGATTTTGAGATGGTTTAACATCGTACAAAGACCTAAAACTTTTAACATATTTTAGTTCCATATTATGTACGGTATATTTCATTAAAGCTGTCTGATTAACATTTGCTAGTCTCAGGGAGTTAAATAGATATGTTGTTAAGTTTTTTTCTCTTTCGCTGTATTAGCGCATAGACAGTGTCCGCCTCCATGTGGGTGTGACCTTTTAGTAGAAATTTCTGAGTGATGATACTTATTAAGTATTTAAAAGAAACACATAATAATGCTAATATTTTATTCTGACCGTAACAATTGTCCAAACACGGTATGTTTTCTTCCATCTCACTGCCAGGAATGACGGTATCTGATGCAGATCAGATTTCATTTCCACCACAACTAGTTTATCATAATATTTGTCTACATCAGACTCATCTTCTTCATCAAAACTCAAGGCATCTCTAATAATATACTGTTCATTTAAAACATCATTGCTTTGTGTATTACTTGATTCTGAAATAAAACAAAGCTTATAATATTGGTTATATAAGATTTAATAATATTTCAGTCTAAGGTTGGTATCAAATCACTAGATTAACTATTTGGGGTTATGTTTTTTAATAATTTAAAAATAATGAGCAAAAAGGTAGCTTACCTGTAAGTACAGTAGAATACTTCGCAGAACTTTTCAGTAGTTCAAGAATCTTTTTCCCACGAGAATAATGGTTCAATATTTTTATTAATAGTAAACCACTCTAAACACACCATAAATGACAAAAGTGGTATTAGACCACTAACAGTCTACCTGTCATCATATAGATATGCAAAACTTTGTGCTTCGATGACTCACATGAGTAGAGGGATAAAACATTAAGTCCACATGGTGTTCTATCCCTCTAAGTAAAAATGGACTTGGTGTTCTTTTAAAGGTCACTATCTCCGTTAGCAATTGGTTTAGGACCTAGTGCTCTATTCCTTTAAATAAGGTGATAAAAGTTTATTACTAGTGTGTAAAAATGTCAAAATTAAAAACAATGGACATAGTGTTATATCTATCGAGGTACAGAATGGTTCGAGAACTTATTGAATGACTTTCAGCTGCATTTGATATAATGATTTCATTTTGATTTTCTTGGAACCTCAGCAATATTGTTATTACAGGTTTAATTAGGTCACAGTATTTTCATACTTTTTCAAAATCCTTTGATTTGTTGAATGGCATGAAATTGGTCTATTGGAATCACTTACGCTTAATAAAGAACTGACAGTGCACGCACTATTGCTCCTTTCTACTCAACTGAGTACAACTTTATTCATTTTTAAAGCATAAATCAAAAAATATATCGGCAATCCAAGTATTGTTAATTACTAATAATAATAATAATTAATATTTAACTTCGTTATGACCAAACGCAACCAATTACACACATTCTGCATTAAGAGTGGCCTAACTTCTACAACAATACTCTGTATGTAACTATTATTTTTTTGCAAAATTTTAAAATGTATTGAATTCGTAGAGCACTCTACAAATAGTTTTTCAAGAGTGTTGATTAAAAATAATTAGGAAAACAGAGAAATTCAACCGTTTTCTACGACCCGAATGACGGTTCGCCACTCGCTATATCGTTAATTTTGAAGAGCCAAAGAACAAAACCAAAGTATACATCAGAATAAAGAATTTATCATAACTAACTAAAGATTTCATTAAAAATTGCAGTGAAGGGATATAAAAATGTATAAGAAAAATAGCTGCAAACTTAAGTCTTGATCGCAATGTACGTGATTTCTGTTTACGTAGGATACAATTACTCTAAAATTAACAAACGGAAATAGTAGGAACAATTTTCTATCTCATATGTAAAAAAATGTACATCTATTTAAAAGAACAACTGAGCACGCACGACATTGATTAATTTTATCATTCTTTAAATAAACAACACGACGTGTTCGAGTATTTAACAAAGTAGGGAGAAAAACAAGCCATTGTTTATTCTTCCTTACACAAATTACTTTCAACTCCTGCTGCAAGCCCAGGAGGTGTTTTTTCCAAAAACAATGTAAATTTTTTCACGTATCACGAATTTGAAGATGTTGAACAAGTAAATGTTTAGTGCAAGTCAAGTAAACAATAATTTTATTTACGTCATTTTCAAGATAACAATGCAGGTCAGATGGGAAAGTTTTGTAAAAACGAGCTTTTGATACTTTTTCAGCTTACTAATGATCCTCGATACGGGTAAGCTGGTATTTGGTAAATATATCACGAGAATCTTAGAATTGAGACTAGAATAAAATTTAAAAGAAGCACTATGGGTCATTATTACAAAGCTATTTATTTTGGATAACTACCTTTCAATGCAGTATGTTTGGAAAAATTAAAAAAAATTGTAGAAAATTATTAACCTTCCAACGGACTCATACGTAAAAAGTTGCGCTTATAGATACTTTCTAACATTTAAAAAAGTATATTATCATATTATTTAAACTTTAAAGATATTTAATTATACATACGTTAGAAAACTTTCATATCTTAATTATCTATAACACATTTTATATCCAACTTCAACTCTTTGGTCATTTAGCTGTCTTCATTTTAATATTTGATTAGGTGACATTAAATTAGTTAATTCTACGTAGGTTACAATCTTTTTGATATAATAATTAGTATCTGGGCTTAACACAGCTGCGATATTAGTTTCCATCTGCAGTATGTTTCGATATATTTGATGTTTTCTGCAATTCCACAGATGAACTGAAGTAAATTGATAGTGTTTCTATTTATAGGAAAGTCTTCTTCTTGTTCTTTTTTTGGGCTATGTCCTAGACAATTTACCCAGTTTACTTGGGGGTAGACACTTTGAAGGAAAGTCTTCACTGAAGAATACAACTTTGGGTTTTCGCCGTCCAAGATAAGATCAGTGTCGCATTTGTATGGCTTATAATACCACTACAAATGACAAGACCACCCTGGAAACTCAATATCAAGCACTTCTTCTTCTTTAAGTTCCATCTTCTATCGAAGGTTGGAAATCATCATGGCTATGCGGATTCTGTTGACTGCCGCTCTAAAAAGTTCTGCACTACTGCATTCAAACCATTCCCTTAAGTTCTTAAGCCAGGATATTCTTCGTCTTCCCACATTTCGCTTTCCTCGGATTTTGCCCTGCATAATAAGTTGTAATAATGCGTATTTTTGCCCTCTCATCACATGTCCCGAGTACTCAAGTTTTCTTCTTTTAATAGTTAATATTATTTCCGCCTCATTTCCTATCCTTCTAGTTACTTCCATGTTTGACATTCTTTGAATCCATGATATTCGTAGGATTCTTCTGTAACACCAAAATTCAAAGGCGGCCAGCTTATTCAGATGAACTTGTTTTAGTGTCCAAGCTTCCAGACCATAAAGAAGAGTAGAGAACACGTAACATCGAAGCATTCTCAGGCGTAGTTCTAACCTTATATCCCGACAACAAAGAAACTTTTTAAGTTTAATAAATGATGTACGTGCTATTTCAATACGTGTCTTAATTTCTTTGGTTTGGTCTACATCTGATGTTATCCATGTTCCTAAATATTTATATTTATTAACATTCTCAAATGCAGTATCTTCAATAGTCAATTGGATATTTGCATGTGCAGATTTAGTCATGATCATGCATTTAGTTTTCTTTTAATTTATCTTCAGTCCGTACTCATGACAGCGTTCATTAAGGCGTTGCATTAGGTTCTGTAAATCATTGTTGTTATCCGTAATTATTACTGTATCGTCTGCAAAACGTAAGTTATTCAAAACTTCTCCATTGATAGATATACCTTCTATTGAGTCTGAGAGCGCTTCTTGAAATACCGCTTCACTGTAGACATTGAAAAGTAGTGGGGACAGCACGCAACCCTGACGGACTCCTCTCTGTATTTTGATATTTTCGGTGTACTGGCTGTCAACTTTTACCTTGGCAGTTTGATTCCAATATAAATTAGATATAATTTTCAGATCACGACTGTCAATATTTTTGCTTTTTAATATATCTACAAGCTTTTTATGTTGAACTTTATCAAATGCCTTTTCAAAGTCTACAAAACATAAGTACATATCCTGATTCATGTCCATGCATCTCTGAGCCAGCACATTCAAGCCGAACAAAGCATCTCTTGTACTCATACCATTTCTAAAGCCAAATTGTGTGTCACTAATCTCATATTCAAGAGTTTTAACAATTCTGCTGTGAATTATAATAAAGCACATATAGTAGCAAAAGACAGAGCTCGAGATGAAAAAAGATCATGAAAACAGATGGCAGAAAACTCTAATGGAAAAATTGTGAGTTGTAATTTCGACATTCAGCAAGTTCTTCTTGTACCCAGTGATCCTACCAATAACGCATTATTTTATAAACAACATCCGAAGACATTTAGTTGTACTATTTATGATGTTTCGAAACAGGGAGATTGCTTTATGTGGACAGAAGTTGAAGGTAAACGTGGCAGCTGTGAGATTGCTAATTGTCTTTACAGCTTCTTCAAATCTTTACCTAATTCTGTTAAACAAATTTCGTGTTTCAGTGACAGATGTGGGGAACAAAACCTTAATACGGCATGTATTTAACGGCTGTACAAGAGATTCCACACGTAAATAATATAGATCTAATGTTCTTAACGGTGGGACATAGCGAAATGGAGTGCGACTCTATACACTCAGCAATTTCTACAGAACTAAAAAGGGTTGGTAAAGCAAACTGGCCTCAAGACTGGAAAACTATTGCTAGGTGAGCTAGACGAAAGGGTGATAAACCGTATATTGTACACAAACACAGGAGCAAATACGTGACTAGAAAACCATGCGTTGGATGCAAGTTTCGAAATCAACCCCTTTTATTCTTGGATTTAAAGAAAACTTTGACGACGATTTCAGAGTTCTAAACTGCATAAGGAAACCTAGAGCTACTTCACTAAATTTTCTGAGACCCTTGTATCAATCTAAAATACCGATTCAGTTAGCCAAGTATAATGATCTTACATCACTCTTTCATATAAAACCTCCGGCTCTTTCGAACGAATATAGACATGACCACGAAAACCTCCCTTTTGTGGGGGATATATGCGGAAAACCTAACGAAAATTCTGAAAGTGAAATAAGCAATAGTGAGTAACTTGTGTTTTCTATAATAATTATTATATTAATATGTTTATAAATGTATCTTGTACTACTTTGAACTAATAAAAACTTATTTTTATTCTTATACAATTATAATTATTAACGTAGTAGAACCATGTCGATATTTGTCTTAGTGCTACAAGTGGATATCTCCCATTTTATCACATTTGCTTCAAAAAATTATAATATTTTTGTTATTACCAATAAAAAGATATTAGCCCATTTAATATACTATCATTTTAGAACCAAAAGAACAAGTTCTGCCATCATTTTGTGATTTTTTTCTGCTCAAAATTTTAAATTGGTATCCTGAGAAACTACTATTATCAAGTTACCTAGTTATAGTATTCAGGGGACAAATTATTTTTTCTTGTATTGTTTCTGATTTTTTAGCAAAATTTATTGAAAAATAATAATTTGGGCTGGAAAGGGTTAATTGTAGTAGGTATTTAAAATTACGTAATTAAATTAAAAGAAATGAATGAATAACTTGACAAAAAATCATTATACATTGATAATTTAAAATAAAGCTGATGATTATATTATTTCAGCGTTTAATTTCACCTTTGCAGGTGC